CAAAACATGAACTCTCAAATCTGTCTATGACCTAATCACCAGTACCTTCCACAGCAGAAGGGACCTTGCAGTTGTAATGAAGCATCTGGAAATAGAGAACCATCCCCTGCACTATCCAAGTGGGCCTGATTTAATCACATAGAAAAGAAGGAGACAGGAGAATCAGAGGCAGGAAGTAGATAAGAAAACAGAACCAGAGAGCAGTGACAAAGGGCCATGAGCCAAGAAATGTGGAGAGCCTCTAGAAGCTGGATAAGGCCACAGAATGCATTCTCTCCCAGAACTTCCAGGAGGGCAGCCTTGGGCACAGACTGAAGTTAGTCCAGTGGAATCCATTTCAGATTCTGAACTCTAGAGATAGAAGATAATAAATTTGTATTTTGTTAAGCCACTAAATTTGTGATGATTTGTTAAAGAAGCAGTAAGAAACTAACCCACCACCCCAACATGTTTGTCCTTCTTCATATGCATTATAACTTGAAATTGCTTTATATGTTCTGTGGACTTATTAATGTAGTAGAATGTAGGTTCTATGAAACCAAGACTCTATATTCATATTAACCTACACTATTTTGACATAGCACTATGTAAAATATTTAGCAGAGTCATATTTTTTAGTAAATTAGGTTGAATATAGTCTAAGATTGTATTGAATTACATCTAATAGTGGAACAACTGATTACACGCATTACCTGCCTAGTTTGTACAGACTCTAGTTGTAAAACTAATTATGTTGTTATTATTAATGCATGGCTGCACTCTCTAGTAGTCAGCAAAAATCCTTAGGGATAAAGATAATATTATATTCTTGTTTTGAATCCTACGATCCTAATCCAGAGCCTGACATTCATTAGACATTCTATAAATATGTACTTAATAAGTAAAAATCAATAAGAAAATATACTATGATTAAATTTAAATAATTCATATCCTTTCTACTTTTACCTTCCAAATTTTAATGTAGAATTTTAAACTGACTGCCTTCCATTATCAGATATTTTTCTAAGTTATTATTTTTGTTCAAAACTTTGCTAACTGACATTCTTCTTCTCACTTTAAAACATTCATATTTTATTACATATGGTGATTACCCTCTAAATAGTAACCACTGTTTTAAGTAGTGTGTGTATACCAACAAAGGAGATGACCAAGGTCATTCTTTCCTACGGGCGGGCCCATTTCATAGTAGAAAGGCAACAAATAAATAAGCAACAGATACTATCAGGTAGTGATAAGCATTTGGCAAAGAAACTAGCTTATCTAGATAATCTTGTTTTACATACAGAATGCCTCTGTAACAAGCATTCTTGTCTCTGTTTTCATTTGTGCACTCTGAGACTCATGCTTTCAATTTTATGCTATTCTATAGTCATGGAATGCCATTCACTCACTTGTATTTACACATGACATAGTTGGGTTTGGGGATTGAAAGAGTGAGTTTAAACGTGATCTCTATGAATGCCATATAAATAACAACAGTGAGGCTTTCTATGAGAATTTCATTCTAGGTAAGACTCATTTTCCATCTGTAAAATGGGAATGTAGCACTAGCATCTTTTTCACAGATGTGAACAATGCCCTGCAGTTAGAATAGCATACAATACAATGACTGTAACATAGTAGGGTCTCTTCAAATTTACCCTGTTATTCTTTAAAGCTCAGGACAGCTTTAAATTCACTCTTTCTGAAATGCTATTACAGTACTTTGACTTTGTCCTACCATTTAGTGGAGTCTCTGCTCTCTTCTATTGTCATATATGTTTTTTTTTTCCTGTGCTTATGCTTTTGTCACCCTATCTTAAGCCTTTTAAAAACAGACCATCCCTCAATATTAATGTTCTTATTGTCTCAGAGGACTTAGCACAATGCTTACTAGCAAGAAGCCTTGTGATCTAGAAAGAGCTAGCCTAGGGATGATGAAAACTGAATTCTCTTTAGGGCTCATCCCTCTGGCAAGTAAGCAGCCTCATTATTCAGCAGATGAAGATGCTATTACTTGCCTGTGCTGTCTAGCTCACTGGGTGCTTATAAGGACACAGTACAAAAAGTACAAAAGGAAACATATGGCACAACACCTGCTTTTAGGGCTGTGAAAATAATAACACTAACCTAACACTAACAATAAATGCTATCTTTTAAGGTCTTACTATGTTCCGGACACCTGCCAGCTATTCTAGATCCAGTTTCTGAGAGACAACTTAAGATGATGATGAAGAATCAGAGCCAGGCTCCCACGGTTTGAATTCTGACTTTGCCACTTACCTGTTGTGTGAGCTGGATGAGATATTTAAGCTCTGTGCCTCACTTTTCTTACCTGTAAAATGGGCTTAAGAGCTCTACTAGCTTCATAGTATTGCTATATTTATTAAGTGAATAAAATAATTGAAATGAGCATAAATTGTTAAATAAACTTTGTCACGTAATACATACAACAACCTTTATATTATTATTATTCCTATTGTATAGTTTGAGCAACTGAGGCTAAATAACTTGTCCAAGGTTATACAACTCATAAGGAAAAGAGAAGGGATCTTACCCACCTATGTCAAATTCAAAATCTTAGGCTTAATGTCATATGGGAGACACTTGGCAAAGTCTGGAGATATTTTTGGTTGTCATAAGTAGGAATATATTACTGGAATCTTGGAGGTAGAAGATAATAGTGCTGCTTAACACCCTACAACAAACATAATGGCCCCTACAATAAACAATTATATGGCCCCAAATGATAGTTTTATTGTCAGATAAAATATAGGACATCAGTTAAATTTGAATTTCAGTTACATACAAAAAAATCATTTTTTTAGTATAAATATGTTCCAAATATCTAGATAAACATGTCTTATAAGTGTCAGGAGGAGGCTTAGTGCTTAAGATGCTAGATCCTACATGGCCTACTCTACAGTTCAAGTCCCATCCCTCAATATTAATGTCCTGAAAAATATGCCAGGTGGGATGTGTGCCCTAAACCCCAAGAGGAGAATGGACGAAAAAGGATTGCAGCGTGGTTAACTCTCTTTGGAGGGAGGGAATCTCACTTTCCCTCTGATGAGCACATACACCCTATAGCAAAAAAGAATTTTATAAAATATATGGGGCATATTTGTCAGTGAGTCTGTATTTTTATTTGATAAATCTTGCTAGCAATGAAGTATTTCATCAGCTTGTCACAAAAATCCCCTGAATTGGGGACATGTGTGATAACCACTATTTGTAGTGAGAAAAAATGAGACTTAGAAAGGATAAGTTACTTGTCTAGGCCCATGAAAGTAGAAAGTGGAAAAACTAGAGCTAGCATACAGGAATCTTGTGATTTCTTGATCAATTACCCTTTTTATTACAGTCTATCAGCCCTAATTTATTGGTTCAGAAGTTTGACATATGGCACACAGGTATAATCTAAGAGAAATAAATAAGTAATAGCAGACAGAAAAATTGATGAACTTGAATATTTATTACGAAGAGCCTTTGGAGTGATGGAATGTGACTATACAGGAAACAATGGCAGGCATTTCTGTCATCTGAGTGTGCCAGGTACCAGGCTTGTTTAAAGACCTCTTCTTTTTCATTTGTTTTTGGTATTTTTTTCTGTTAAAATAAAGGCCAAGGATAAAGACATATGTTATTTTTAAGTTTTTTTTATGTCTCATTATTTAAGGTGCAAGCGTGGTTGAAGTACACCATAAAGATTATGTCCTATAAAAAAAAAAAAAAAGATAGAACATGGGGATGAGCAAATGGGGTAATGCTTAGGTCATTGGACTCCCATGTAGTGAACCCAGATCAAGTTCTAGACCCAGTGGCTTAAAACAAGCCAGGTGTGTGTGCATGTGTGCCCAAAATCCTGAGAGGAGAACGGAAGAGAAAAGACTGCAGTGTGGCCATCCCACCCGGAGGGTGATTTCTTGCTTTCTGTCTTGCCAGTGAGTTCATGTGCCCTATAGCAAAAATCTCTCTCTAAAAAACAAATAAAACATGCATGTGAGTGGTGATGAATGGGACCCATATGACACAACAACCTGCTAAAAATTAACTAGAAAGGTCATATTTGCCTCTTGTCTTCTAAGCTAGAGATGAGTTTCTGGAAGATGGAGGTTTTAGTTCTAGTGTGATTGGGAACAGAAAGGCTTTGTGTAGATACTCCTAGGAGCCTTTTTTCTACTTCTGTTGGCTGGTGGGACCAGGCTGAAAGGAGAAGCTCATGGGCTTGTGGGCTTGCAATACATGTGATTGATTAATTTAATTTTCAGCTTAGTGATCTAGGTCAATGCATAATTGTGCTGCCTCATTCTTTTATAAAAAGGAATCTTGAAAGATAAAAACAGAACCTCATTTTTAAAAAGCATGTAAATATGAGACCAGCTGATGGCATAATGGTTATGGTCAACTATGGTTCGAGTTCTGAACCCAGCAGCTTAAAATTCACACTGGGTGTGTGTATGTGTGCATGTTCAAAATCCCAAGAGGAGAATGAAGGAGAAGGGATTTTGGTTTGGCCATCCCCTCTGCAGGGTAATTTCTTGTTTTCTGCCTCTCTGTCTCTCCAGCGAGCACACGCACCCTAAAGCAAAAATTTCTCTCTCAAACAAACAAACAAACAAAAAAAAGCTGGGAACAGCAGTTGGTGTAATGACTATGTTGCTGGACTCCCATGTAGTTGACTGCGGTTCAAGACCTGGACCCTGGGGCTTAAACTCATGTCAGGCACATGTGCACGTATACCCAAGATCCCAAGGGATTGTGGTGTGGCCATCCCCCCTGAAGGGGGGTGATTTCTCACTTTCTGTCTCTGTCTCACTCTGTCTTTCGAATGAGCACACGCACCTTATAGCAAAAAAATAAAACAAAACAAAACAAAAGCAAAAAAAAAAGCATGCAACCATATATACACACCCACATGTGCAATCAACAGCTCTGTCATAACTTGTGCTCCTGACTTGCTCAACAGGAAGATCTTGATTGCACTCAGTACTGCTTTTCTTTCTTTTCCTCCTGCCTCATAAGAAGAGACCCATGGAGTCCACGGCTGGTAAGGCTTCTTTTATCAGATTGAGTATTTAGGCGAGATACTTGAGGAGTTGATATTAGCCATAAGGTTGTTTTTTACTGAAGTGTGAGCAGCATTTAGTAGGGAAGAAACTTTCTTCCTTGATATATATATATTGTTGGAAACGTCTTGACACATTTTTGCATAGAAAAATACGTCATGACTTTCCCAATGACCTGATATATTCTCTCAGGCTCTGCTCTGCTCTGAAGACCTTGTCTTCTGAAGTTCTTCTGTGGATCTTCCCTGTATGCTCAACATAACTGAGGTTCAGAATCTGAATGGTAGGATCACTATGGGTTACTGTGTCTGCATAAGAGAAATGAAAATGACATGAATGTGGCCATTGTTGAATCTGATTTCCATGGACATGTTCATTAAAACAAAAGCCTGGGTGGTGCTCAGCTCCTTGGCCCTGCCTGGTAACTCACCAAGAAAGAACAAGAACAGGTAGAGTGAGAGCACCTTTTGATTGACCCAGCTAGGCTAGAATTCTGGGCAGGATGTCCATAGACTTAGAGAAAACGGAAAGGGTCTTAGATGCACTAAATAGGTCACTTCTTGGGATTCTGAACAGTAGAGTCTATAGAAAAACAAGAGTCTTGGTTATTGAGGTGACAAAACCCTATTTCTGAAGGTGCATATTAATTTAAATATTTTTTGTGTTTCCAATAGGTAATAAGCTAAAAGAAAAAAGGAAAGTATTTGTTGACTCTGTGTCTGAAGACACAATTTATAATCTGCTGGATGATGTATTAAGTGAAAGAGTGCTGAACCAAGAAGAAGTTGAAATGGTAAAAAACAAAAATGCTTCAACTAAAGCCAAGGCCCGTGATTTGATTGACTTTGTGATTCAGAAAGGGTCCCGTGCTAGCCAAATATTTATTGATTATATCTGCAAGAGAGATTCCATCCTTGCCAACAAGTTAGGATTTTCTTTAGGTAAGATTTCTATATTTGGAGTTTTCAATCTTTTTAAAAAATTATCAACAGATAATTTCCCATTTTTGTGTCCCTTTAATGTTTTCTTCTTTCTTCTTCCCCTTGTTTATATCCCTCTCACCCTCTCCCATTTCCCACACTCCCACACTGTCTCCAGTATCCACAGTTGCTCTCTGTGCCTTTATACCTTCCAATCTTTCAGTTTCTGCCACAGAGTGCAGACATTCAGTACATAATAAGTGGGGACATATAATGCCTCTTTTTTATAGTCTGGCTTACTTCACTTAGCAATAAATCTTCAATATTCATCCACTTTCTATCAAATGCCAGGGTCTCATCTAAACAATTTGTAAATTAAGTAATTAATTAAATTGACAGGTAAAAATGTTATATATTTATGGTGTACAATGTGCAGTTAGGTATAAGTAGACATTGTGAAGTGATTAAGTTAATATATCCATAACTGTATATTTTGTGATGTGAATACTTAAAATCTATTCTTTATGGGACCAGCAGTTAGCGTAATGGCTATGTAGCTGGACTCCTACGTAGTCGACCGCGATTCACGTCCTGAACCCAGTGGCTTAAAAACTCATGCCGGGCAAGTGTGCGTGCATGCCCAAGATCCCGAGAGGAGAATGGAGGAGAAGGGATTGCGGCATGGCCATCCTCCCTGGGGGGTGATTTCTCTCTTTCTGTCTGTCTCTGTCTGTCTGTCTGGTGAGCGCATGCGCCCTATAGCAAAAACCTCTCCAGAAAAAAAAAAAAAAATATATATATATATATATAATATCTTATCCTTTACTCATTACGTTGTATTGGGAACATTCAAAAGTCTCTTTGTTTTTTTTTTTCAATTTGCCAAGTTTATTTTATGTACCCTAAGTTTGAGTTAATATGTAAATGCAATGTTGGATTTATAATTTAAAAGCCATTTAAATATTGGTGAATTTTATTACTTTTATGCAACTCATGATTATTTTTAAAGCTCATTTTTTGTGACTCAGAAATTTTCAAGTGTTCAGTATATTATTAATTATATTGTATTATATTCATATGTAATATATTACCTATTTATATATTTATGTATAATAATATATAATACTATATGAAATATATTAACTATAATCACCTACTCAATTCTATTTAAGAGATACTTCAACTTGTATCTTGTTACCCAATATCTGCTTTCCTATTCATTTGACAGATAATTTATCTACTAAATCTATGCCTCATCAATTCCTAACCTGAAGTTTAATCACTCTCATACTCCCACTCATGCTCTTTTTTACTCTGTCCATATAAAATTTTTTTCCTGGGACCAGCATGATTTTTAAGCTGCTGGGTCCAGGACTTGAACCATGCACTTAGCCATGTGTGATCCAGCATCTTAATTGCCGTGTCACCTGCTGGCATAAGGAATATATTTTTTCTGTCCTTACCTTTAATTGAAGAAACTAAAGAACAGAGACATTAGGAAATCTAATTTCACATGGTTAAAAAGTGGTAGAATTGGGATTTGAGCTTGCTTCCAAATTCCATCCTAGTATCACTAGGCTGCTTACACAAGCAGACCTTACTATCCAATGATGCAAAAATGATTTCTATAAGAATTCTATTACTGGTAATTCTTCATCAAGCAAACTGATAGTTCTGATTATTTCCTTACTATACTCTAGGTTCATAGTGTTTAAAGCCAGAGAAAACCTTCTGTCTAGTCTTTTTTTCCTTTCTTGGGGACTTATGTAGGATTTATCTGAGCATTTCCCAAAAAAGACAACCAAAGACTAGTTAGTGGGAAATAATTATCAATAATTTCCAGTTTGAACCTGCCATTCTGATAATCTTCAACACAGGTTTACTTCTCCAGTTGACTGACCTCTGTTCTGAGCTCTGTGGGCTCATGTAGGACTGGTCCTCAACCCTACACTCACTGCACAGCAGCCTGATGCTACCCTGTTATCCTAGCTACTCTACAACTTCGTAGAAAAAGGAACTCAACACATGAAAACAAAACCTATCCTCTATTATTTAATTAAGAAAAACTCTCAGTTTTTACAAGTAACCTTACACAGAAATTAAGAAGAAACAAGAGTTTATATTGATGTATATTAGAAGAGAAGGAAGAAAGGTATCTATCCAAAACAAAAATTACTTTCAATTCTTCTCAGGAGCTAACCAGACTATCCCTATGAATAAGACACTACATTTATTTATTTATTTTAGGATTATTAATTTAATTTTATTTGTTATTATTATCTTTTAATTTTATATAGAGCATGTGGGCTTACCAAAATGAGAAGAGAATACAAGAGAGAGAAAGTGAGAAAGGAAGCTGCCAGGTCCGGGATTTGAACCGTTGTTGGTCATGTGAGAATCTAATGCTTTAACTTCCATGTCACCTGCTGGCCCCAAAAGACTACATTTAAAAGATATTCTTATGGAATTTCTCAGAATTGAGCAGCTCAATAATGCCTTATTTGATCTCTGTCCTTCTAGTCTTCATCATAGAATCACATGCGTTTCTGCATCTTGGATAGATCTCATCATCAGATAACTTTCCCTAAAAGGGAGTTATCTCCCTTGTCTACCACATTCATTCCTGTTAATGAGACAAAACTATCATTTTTACAATTTTAGCAAATTAAGATGTTCTTCTTACAATTCTTTTTCAGTCTTCCAGAAGAATGAATGCCCTTCTCTTTGATGATTACTAAAGTAATAGAACATACAGGGCCCCCAAACAGCTGGTATACCTTATATCAGAGCTCTTGTGTCTCTTATGCCAGGTCTCTTAAAATTCTTTTAGAAACTCCTGCTACAGGAACAGGGCCAGCCTCTGAAGAATACACAGGCAAACTCAAGCTATGTCCTCGTGAAAAATTCCTGGAACTACGCACAAAGGAGGCTGGGAAGGTGAGATATCCAATGAATGGAAATGAGGGATAACATGAAGTAGAGAGATTTCCCACATACAAAAGATGAAGAAGTCTTTAGAATAATAGTATCTTTTTAGTGATGTCTTGAGGCACTAAGAGAGTTAAAAATAATCAAAGACAGGTATTTTCATTTTATTAGGATCATGGCTGATGGGCAACTTCATTCTATCATGAAAACTGGATATGCAATAATGAAATAATTAAAATCCTATGATTCATTATATATAGATGCTACAATATATATATTTTTATATAGATGCTATAAAAATAAAGCACCTATACAGGGATGAAGACTCAGCTATTATTAATGTAGACTGAAGTCAGTGAAGAATGTTTTTAGTGTTCCAGGCATTTGAGATGAGATCTTAAATATTAGATAAGGTTTAACTAAAAGAAAGGGAAGCGAAGAGGAAGGAGAGAAGGTATTTTAGCTCATTTTACAAGAGCATCATATAACTAAGGCCGCAGTTGTTCTAGTTAACCACTCTGGGGTTTTGCTTATTTAGTTATATCCTGCATAGGAGTCCATTCCCCATTTTCTCTACCTTCTTTCAGAAGACACCCATAGCAGGAGAGAATAAAGAAATGGTTCGAACTAAAGTTAGCAGGTGAGAAATCTCTGTCTTATGCAGCTGAGAGAGTGAGTAGCTCTTACTGTACTGTGGATATGTGAGAGGAAAGGAGATGCATGTAACTTGCTCTTTTTCTTCAGATCTATGAAATAAAAGAGAAAGGGGATCGCACTCGTCTGGCCCTCATCATCTGTAACACAGAGTTTGACCATCTCCCAAGGCGCAATGGGTCCAACCATGATATCACAGGGATGAAGGGACTCCTTGAGGATCTGGGCTACAGTGTGGATGTGGAAGAGAATCTCACAGCCAGGGTAAGGACCCCTCTTCTGTGCAGCATATATAAACCTACAGGCCCATATTACTCTAACAATGAAGCAATAATGTCATTTGGGGGCTATGCATTTAACTTCCCTAGGGCTCATATTCTTCAGCTTGAAAAATAAAAAGTTAAAGCAGGTATCTAAAGTAACCTGTACCTCCTTTGAACACTATGTGTATATATACATATAAACATATGTGTGTATACACATGTAGTGTGTATGTGCATATATATAAATAAGTTTTAGCCACAATGTTAACAGTTTTATTATTGTATTCTTACTATTAATTAATGTTTCCTACTAATAATTGCTATTTTATCATTATTAAACAAAAAACTGATGGCTTTGCTTAGAAAACACACACTTACATACACATACATACACACACACTTTCTGCCAACATGTGTTCACAGTTAGGGAAGTTGTTCAGGAAACAAACTCTCCTAGATTATACTTAATTTTGGTGGCTAGCCACTCCTCATCTCATCCCTTATCTGGTGGCAGGCTGCTGTGGGAATGGCAATCTGCATTTGTAATACAGTTTGCTGGAAGCTACAGTGACCAAAAGGAACTCATCCTCGAACTATTGGGAATTTAGAAAGATGCCATGTGTGCCTGGCTCACAAACAGATCTGAGCAAACCCTAAACTTTCACTTCATGCATATCTCTGACACAGAGATACACTGGGCAAAAAGAAAAAATACAAAACAGAAAAACAAACATCAAATCCTGGAGAAAGAGGAGAGTCTGATTCCTAGAATTGCAACATCATAAAATTCAAATGTTCAGTTTTCAACAACACATTACGTGACAGACAAAGAAATAGGAAAGTGTGGTCCATTGATATGAACTATATGAATCATCCCTGAGGGAGACCAAATGCAAGGTACAAGACCAATATAAGAAAAAAAAATAACAATTGTGCTGTGTTTCCATACATTAGCAATGCACATATGAAAAGAAAATTAGAAAGCCAATTTCATTTACAACATCATCTAAAAGAATAAAATACTTAGAAATATATCTAACTAAGGATATTAAAAATTTGTATACTAAAAACTACAAAATATTGCTGAATTAAATTTAAAAAACCTAAATAATTTTTAAAACCTCTATTTATGAATACAAGGGTAATGAGGTTAAGATGTTATTGTTACTCAAAATCATCTACAGATTCAATACAATCCCTGATATAATTTTAATAGCTTTCTAAGAGATGAAATAGCCAATTCTCAAATTTATATGGAACTGTAAAGAAACTCAAATGAATAAAACAATGTCGAAAAAGAAAGTAAAACAGAAGGACTCATATTTCTCAACTTTGAAATTTACTACTAAGCTACAGTAATTAAAACAGTGTGATACTGGCATAAAGACGGACAGACATACAGAATAATGAAATAGGATATAGACCATAAAAATAAACCTCTACATGTTTATTTAACTAAATTGCACAAGGTTCTCAAGACTACTCAGTGGAGAAAAGACAACCTTCTTTTGCAAAACAAATTATTATGGGAAAACTGGATATGCTTAGCCATTATGGCTAAAATAAAAACCTTTCCTTATACTACATACAAAAATTAAGTTAAAAATGAGCCAAAGATTAAAACATTGGACTTGGAAGCAACTCATGGCTAGGTAATCAAATGTACAGGAAGGGAAAAGAAGTTGATAAGCAGAACTTCATAAAAATTATGAATTTTTGTGTCTCAAAGGATACAAACAAGAAAAGTGCAAAGACAACCTACATAATGAGAGAGAATGGTTGTATATCATCTATTAGGGATAGATTAATGTCCAGAATATATACAAAATTTATAAAACTTCAATAACATGAACAAATGAGCCAATTCTAAAATGGGCAAAGGACTTGAATAGACGTTTCTCCAAAGAAGATAGACAAGTGGCCAATAAGCACATAAAAATGTGCTTAACATCATTAGCCATTTGGGAAATGGGAATTAGACTACAGTGAGACACTAATTCATACCTACTAGGGCATCAATGATAATAACAGTAATCTTATTGTTGATGAGGTGGAGGAAGAGCAGAAAAATAACAGGTGTTTCCCAATTTGTGGAGAAATTAGAACCCTTGGGTTACCAGACATGTAAAGTGATATAGCAAGTTCCAATCCTAAGTATTTTTATATCCAAAGAACTGAAAGAAGAAATCCAGGCTAATATTTGTGCATTAATACTTTTAGCATTATTCATAAGAGCTAAATGTAGGAATATCAAGTGTCTGCCAACAAATGAGTGGAAAAACAAAATGTGGTACATACATAGGGTGTATATGGTTAGTCATAAACAATAAAATTTTGACATATTTTACACATGAATGGGCCCTGAAAGATTGTGTTTAGTGAAATTATACAGATACGAAAGGACAAATAGTCTATGATTCCACTTATAGAATGCATTTAAAATAGGAATAGCATACTCATATACAAAATATAGTTTACTAGGATATGAGGAGGAGCTATTGTTTAATGGATACAGAATTTTTATTAGGGATGAAAAATGAGCTTTGGATATAGACAGTGGTATGGCTATACCTAACATTGTGAAGGTTATTTAATGCTATCAAATTAAACATTTATGGGGGACCAGCAGTTAGCGTAATGGCTATGTTGCTGAACTCCCATGTAGTTGACCGCGGTTCAAGTCCCGGACCTTGTGACTTACACTCACGCTGGGCGCATGTGCGTGCATGCCCAAGATCCTGAGAGGAGAATAGAGGAGAAGGGATTGTGGTGTGGCCATCCCCCCGGTGGTGATTTCTCGCTTTCTGTCTCTCTGTCTTTCTGGCAAGCGCACGTGCCCTATAGCAAAAACCTCTCCTTAAAAAAAAAAATTAAACATTTACGAATAGCTAAAATGATAAATATTAAGTTCTATATGTTCTATCACAACAAAAAACAACTAGCACAGGGGGCCAGCAGGTTGTATAGAGGTTAAAGTAGGCTGATCCCACATGCTGCTGTGCAATTTGAGTTCCAGGTTTGGTGGTTCACATAGGGTGTGCGTGTGTGCCCAATATCCTGAGAGGAAAGTAGAGGAGAAGGAATTGCAATATTGCCCCCATGCTGGGGGATGATTTCTCACTTTTCCTCTCTCTCTCTCTCTCTGTAACTAGCACATGTACCCTACAGCAATCTAAAAAATCAAATGAACAAACAAACAAAAAGCATATGATAAATGAATAAAATTTACAGATGTGGAAAGTCAAACTAGTCTCCTGAATTGTTATAGTACATACAGCACAGCGACAATAACAAGGGCCACATGTGAGCATTTCAATATCTTAGACGTTATAATGTGCCAGGCACTTGACATTTATTCATTCTACTGCTCAAGTCATTACTGGTAGAAAGGGTGGGTATTATGATCTGATATTTAAAAGTTTATTTTCTTTCAGGCCATGGAGTTAGTGCTAAGAAAATTTGCAGCTCGTCCGGAGCACAAGACCTCAGACAGTTCTTTCTTTGTGTGCATGTCCCATGGCATCCTAGAAGGAATCTGTGGGATTAATCATAGTGATGAAAATCCAGATGTGCTACCTTATGACCCCATATTCCAGATTTTGAACAACCGTAACTGCCCCCATCTAAAGGACAAACCTAAAGTCATCATCATCCAGGCCTGCAGAGGTGGTGAGTTCTGATGGGAGTCAATAGGTCAGAGGGTCATTTTTCAGAGCCTGAGGCTTGTACTATGTGTTTTCTATCTAGTGAAAATGCCCAAAGCCTCATTTTAGTGTAATGACACCCAAAACTTGTCTTGGTAAAAAACATTTAAGGGTGGTATATAAGTTAAATGCAAATGTCATCCACTTTCAGTGAACCACAGGAAGTGATGATAATAATAATGTTTATTCGAAATTATTTTTACATATTGGGTTGTTGGGAAAGTCATGACACATTTTTTTTCATAGAAAAACATAGGAAAATATGCATGCTTTTTCCAACAACCCAGTAGAATAATTAAAATTGTGGCATGAAACAGCTTTAATTTCAGGATTTGCTAGTCAAAATTTTATGATCTCTGATCTGAGAAGTATTTCACAAGATAGTGAGGGATTAATATTTAACATAATGCAAAATAAGTGAAGGAGCCAGACCCAAGAGATAACGTATTACACAGTTTCACTGACACGGCATTTGGGGAAGAGCAGAAGTATAAAGAGAAAATCAGGTCAGTGATTGTCATGAGGTGAGGATGGGTGGGTTCTTTATCTTGATCGCTGTAGTAGTTACATGACTGTACATATTTGTCAAATTAGTGAAACTGTAACTTAAAGGCAAATTTTACTGTTTGTAAATTATATCCCTGAAAAACAAAGCCAAATTATTTATGGCATTGACTTTTTTCTATAATTTTTCTTATTTCAAACTTTAATGTAATTCTATCACTCAGTGAAAGGTTTAGAAGGAAGAAGTAGAGGTGGGGATGAAAAAGGAATAGAAAAAGTAGTTTAGAATTTTGAATCTGTAGCTGAATAGAGCAGATATTTCCTTTCTTGGCTTTATGTTACTGTTATTTTTCTATCAATAAAGCAAAACCTATTCCCTTTACTTAGAGATAATCAATACCCAACTTTTAACATAATTACTAGCCCTGATAAATGGGTACCTTCTAGCAGGCAGATCCAGAGGTGGTGATTACTATTCACTGACATCCTCTTATATGTGATCATAAATAAGGTTATGTTAGACCTGTACTCTGTGTGTGTGTGTGTGTGTGTGTGTGTGTGTGTGTGTATGTGTGTGTATGCGTGTGTATGTATGAAATTAATTGAAACATCATCATAAAAGTGTATCCTATTAGTTTAGTTGTGAAAGGATGACTTGAATGAGTTTAGGAGTGAATAAGTGAATAACAATCCTATCGTTTTTATAGGAAGCAGTGGAGAGGTTTGGGTCAGTGATTCTCCACTGGCCTCAGTGGACAATCCTTCACTGTTTCCAGAGAATCTAATCCATGATGGTGTATCCAAGGCTCACGTAGAAAAGGACTTTGTTGCTTTCTGCTCTTCAACACCACGTGAGTGTCTTTCATTTTCTGTGGGGATAAAGCTGCCTGCCTACATGATTGGGCCCATCATTGCAAAAAAGAACACTCACTAAAGTCTTTAGAAGGGATTTTTAAAGCAATGAAGAGTCCACCCAAGCTTCTGTGGCTTTTTACAGCTTCCTTGTGGTGGTCCATTTTCCTTCTGCCCCTATATCCACTCAGATGCCAGTCTTTTTTATATTCACTTAATAAATGATTGGGTGGTAGATACACAGCAGTATTGATTTGCTGAGTCTATGATGTTAATAACATTGTTTTTACTACTGGAGATCGTTTTTGAGAATAAGAGGATATGACCTCCTTTTCAAAAAGAAGGTTTGGAAAATAAGAAATCTATATATAAAATGGTATTAAGAGCTCACCAAATAAGAAGTAGCATCTGGTAAAGTAAAATTACAACCTAGGAGTAGTAAAGAGTTTTAAAGGATTAGTTTCAAAAGACATAATATTTAAGGTGACATACTTTGAAAAAAAGAGACTATACAATAGAGAAAAGAGAATTCCCAGTGGGGCTCAAAGCCTCAACAAAAGAGACAAGATGTTTTAAATGCTTGCAAAAGCTTATTATTACTTAATGTGTATTATTTAATTATATTACCTAAATGTATATACATTTATACTTATCTATAATATGCATTTATTAACATTCAGCAAGCACATCTGGCAGGTAAGCTGTATTATCTCTCACAGATAGAAACTGAATGCCCCAAAATCATACAAATAGCCTGAACAGTGTATTTGCCACGTATGAATCTAGGTCAGTTCTGAAGTTTAGATGAACTTAGATAAGCCAATAAAAACAATATAGAGAACCACAAACTATTCCAAAGTCAGAAACTTGCTGACTTCTGGACCTAGGAAGGGACTGGAAATGGAACCAGTCTCTCATTGTTACCTGGCTAGCCTGTTATCAGAAAAGGGCATCTAGGGAACCAGCAGTTAGTGTAATGGCTATGTCGCTGGACTCCCACGTAGTCTACTGCGGTTCACATCCCAGACCCAGTGGCTTAAAACTCACGCCGGGCGCATATGCGTGCGTGCCCAAGATCCCGAGAGGAGAATGGAGGAGAAGGGATTGCGGTGTGACCATCCCTCCTGGGGGGTGATATCTCGCTTTCTGTCTCTATGTCTCTCTCTGTCTGTCTGGTGAGCGCACGCGCCCTATAGCGAAAAACCTCTCCAAAAAAAAAAAAAAAAAGAAAAGGGCATCTATGGTATGGTAAAGAAACTTCAGAAATTGATAAGGATTTAGTAACCACTTTGTCACTTTGTACCTCTTCCTCTTTGAGCAAATTCTGAAGATTAAGCAAAAGAATATTTACTAGAAAATATGATCTATATGGGGCCAGCAGTTAGTGTAATGGCTATGTCACTGAACTCCCATGTAGCCGACTGTGGTTCGAGTCCCAGACGCCGTGGCTTATACACGCCAGGCACGTGTGCGTCCGTGCCCAAGATTCTGAGAGTAAAATGGAGGAGAAGGGATTGCGGCGTGGCCATCCCCCATGGGAGGTGATTTCTCACTTTCTATCTCTCTGTCTCTCTCTGTCTTTCAAGCAAGGTAACACACCCTATAGCGAAAACCTCTCCAAAAAAAAAAAAAAGAAAAAAAAATACGATCTATAATACCAATTTAAACATAGTCATGTTACATAACGAACCATAGATCTTAAGTTCTCAGGCATCTGTGATGCTACAACATTTGCATGATGTCTTATAGTTCAGGCTAAGTTTATCATGTTATTCTTTGAATATAAAGCCAGATCCAGAAATATAAACCTTCATTTTTCCTACTTGCTTAAATCAATCTAAAGTTATTTACAACATATGACTATTTTTAAAAAGATGAAGGCTGCAGTTCAAGATTCATCAATTCTCTTGTTCACAGATAATGTTTCCTGGAGAAGTCCAAATGGTTCTTTATTCATCACACGACTCATAAAGTATGTCCAAACAGATTCTTGGTGTCATCACCTGACAGAAGTATTTCTTATGGTAAGACCTATATTATCTGTTATATTTGTTTATTTATATACACAGGCCAAAACAAATGTATATAATAACCCATCTACATATTTTATACTAATTATAGGTCATTACTCAAACCATTGCAAAACTTGCTCTTTGATTATTTCTAAAATACAAAGCTCTGATAGGCCAAAAAATTAATACACGCTAAACTTCTGTATCAAAAAATTAAAAATGTAGGAGATAAAATATTTTTCATAAATAAAAATATAATTTATGAGGATAACATGATATAAAATAATATGTACTTAAATATTCACATTGTAGAAAAATTTAATGCCAAACTTTGCTTTGATATATATTTATTTAGTTCCTATACAAACTGGAATTGGAGACTGCTGATAAGAAAACACAGTAAAAAGGACAAACGATCATTCTTATTTTCATAGCTAATATTTAGTAGGAAATATGGATAAGAAAGGACCATCTGATTCAAAACTATGTCCTTTTCAATTTCTAGGAAAAAGTGTAACAGGGTTCTGTGAGGAGCACTAAGGAAGAAGTTCTTTAGGAGATGTGGTTGTTAATAAACTAAAAAATCTCTGTGTGTTTCATTGGCATATAAATAGTGTTTACTGGACAACAGAAGAGATGGGGAAGGAGTGACAAATGAGAGAAAGAAGAATCTGAAATAAAGTCTCAGAGGCAAAAACAGAAGACTGAGGGGACCAGGTCTGATGGAATTGAAGGAGAGAATCTCCAAGCTTAACATCCCTGATGATGCATAAATCCTCGGGTGTAGAGTTACAGCTAAAATCTAGAGGTCAGAATCCCCTGTTTACAGTCAAGATGACTGAACAGAGGCCTAATTTACACTTCTGTCTGAAACAAACAAACCCAAAAAACTATGAAGCAATGGTTTTCAATGTACTGGATACTAGGAAATGATAGACACTTGTCCCTTCTAGATGGGAAGTGAACTTGGGTGTGCCCTGCAATCTGCTCAGTGTATTATCTTGAGAGAGCTTCCAGGGCACTGCACAGTGGGGAGTAAGTAAGGCAGAACCAGGCAGATTTCCAGAAGTGAGTAGGCAGAACTAAGAGTCTATGAGAATGAAATAGTGAGTGTACATAAGGCACAATATCAAAAAGGAGAGAGAGCTACACAAAGACAGAACTCTGGAGATCCTCAGAGGATCCCCATGATGTATTTTGCAGAGTACTGTTTACCATATATGAGGAAACTACCTGAACCAAGGAAAAGAACTACCCTAAAGGACTGGAGGAAACAGTGCTATGGTGTCCATGCAGAGCCAGGGAGAGTGCCTATTTCCATCAGCTAGACTGAACAATTTTTATTATTTGCCAGTAGAGCACTCAGAAAGGTGTATGTGTATTTTAAAAAAAATAGGAATGCATAGAAACTGGAAAGTAAGACCATCTATCAAGAGAAGAACTTCATATGTTCAAATAGTTAAGTAGAGTCAAGGAAGATAAAAAGACATAAATTAAATTTTGTGGTATAAAACAACCACCTGTGAAATAAAAAAAAACACAATGAATGAGATGTATAGCAGATCAAATATTGTAGAAAAAATAGTAAATGTGAAACTACACAAGATGAAGCACAGAGAACAAAAGAATGTAAAAACAAAAATGAATAAAAGGGAACCAGCAGTTAGCGTAATGGCTATGGCGCTGGACTCCCACGTAGTCGCTCGTGGTTCGCGTCCTGGACCCGGTGGCTTAAAACTCACGCCAGGCGCGTGTGCGTGCGTGCCCAAGATCCCGAGAGGAGAATGGAGGAGAAGGGATTGCAGCGTGACCATCCCCCCTGGGGGGTGATTTCTCGCTTTCTGTCTCTATGTCTCTCTCTGTCTGTCTGGCGAGCGCACGCGCCCTATAGCAAAAATCTCTCCAAAAAAAAAAAGAATAAAATTACCAGTGAGCTGTGGGACAAATATTAGAGGCCTAAGATATATGCAGATGTTCTTAAGGAGGAGGAACAAAGTAACATTTGAAGAAATAATGGGCAATAGTTTTTCAAATATAATGAAAGGTATAAACCCACATATTCAAGAAGTACAACAAATCTGAAATACTAAAATAGTGAGGAAAAGACAGCAAGGCTCATCTCAGTCTAATTTTTTTAAAGCAATGATAAGGCGAAAATCTTAAAGTAAAGAGAAAAGAGGCATGCTACATATGGAGAAACAGAAAAAAGAACATCAGCAAACTATTATCAGAAATTGGGCATGCTAGAAAACAACAGTGAACAGCAACAAAAAATCACCCAAAAATTCTAAGTCTAAAAAAATGTTAATTTGTTTTCAAAACCAAAGGTGAGGGGGCCGGTAGGTGGTGTGGTGGTTAAGGGTGCTGGACTCCACATGGCCGACTGCAATTCAAGTTCCAGACCTGAAGCCCTGCTTTCTCACTTGCTCTCTCTCTCTTTGTCCCTCTCTGGTCAAATTTAATTAATTAATCAATTAATGTTCAATAAAATAACTCTTTTTTTAAAAAAAAGGTGAAATTAAGGCATTTTTCAGCCATCTAACAGCTGAAATGTTCTGTTATCAACAGAACTTTACTATAAATGTTAAAGTAATGTTAAAGATCAGGAAAAAGGAAAGTGATAGCATGTAGAAATATAGATCTTTATAAAAGGAATGAAAGCATTATAAATAGCAAGTCCATGAGCCAGTAGGTTGCATGGTGGTTAAGGCGCTGGACTCCCATGTGGCTAACCACAGTTAGAGTCCTAGGCCTGGCAGTAAAATCACATTTTAGGCATATGTGTGCTTGCCCAAAATCTCAGGAGGACACTGAAGAAGAAATTGTGGTGTAGCCATCCCCCTGATTTCTCACTTTTCCAATCTCTGTCTCTCTCTGACAAGAACACGCACCTTACAGCAATAAAAAAATAGTGACTACACACACACACACAAGTATATATATATATATATATATATATATATATATATACACACACACACACACATATATGTATATATGTATATATATTTTTTAAAGGAATGATTTAATACATATACACATATGCATACAGAAGGGCAAGGCTCAATTATAATATATCACCTGTGGGGGGGGAAACACCTTTAATATAATGAGATAAATATCTTTAAAATAAAAAAAGGAAAAAGTATGCAGGCTAATGTGAAAAACAAACCATCCACATGTGTATGCATGCTCAAAATCCTCAAAAGAGAGAAGTGGAGAAAAAGGGATTGTGGCATGACCATGACTTATGGGGGATGCTTTATCACTTTCCTTTTCTCTTTTTCTCTCTCTGGCAAATGCACATGCTCTCTGCAAACATTTTTAAAAAAACTGTAATATCATAAGGACAAAGGTGCCAATCATCAGGGGGATATAATAACAGTTTTAGGCACATAATAACAGTTTTATGTATAAGAAGTAAAAATAAACAGAATTCTGATGAGAAATAGATAAACCCACAATTAGAGTCAGGGATGTCATTACCTCTCTCAATAATTGATAGAACAAGGACAAAGAAAAATTAAAGATAGAGAAGATATAAACAACCTAATGAAACAACTTGATCCCAATGGGCACATATAGAGAATCCAAAGCAACAAGAGCAGAATAGATCATCTTTTCAAGTGCATATGGAAAACTTATCAAGTTAGGACATATTTTACACCATAAAACAAATCTCGATAAATTTAAAATGACTCCATTCATATAAAATATATTCTCTAAATGGAATGAAATAAAACTAGAAATCAGTAATAGTAAGTTCTTGGCCCAACCACTGTGTCATAGCCAGTAGATGTGCCAGTATGCAATGCTGGAGGTCATGGAGGAGGACTGTGCATTCATGTCCCAAGTCTTCCTAAATACCTCAGGTGTGCTCAGGGGCACATCTATGATCCTGGCTGGCTACAGGGCTGATAGGAGGTTAGCGGTCTGAGGGCCCTACTGAGAATGCCTTCTTTTCCTCTTTCTCTAGAAATATGTAAATAAGACCCTCCCCCCACCTTTGTTTTCATTGCTAAATAATGGGAAGGTCTCTAAAAAGATCCTAAATGATGGCAATTAAATAATACACTTCTAAGTAACACATGAGTCAAAAGACACTTTAAAATAGAAATTAAAAGTCCATTTTAACTGAATGCAAGTTAAAACATAACATACAAAAAACTGGAGGATACTACTCTCTCTTTTTCTTTGCAAAAATGTGTCATGACTTTCCTGATGACTCAGTACTAAAGAAGCATTCAGAAAAAGTTTAACGACAACAGGATAAAATTATTCACTATCTATGCATACAACTTCATGACTAAATTTTGAAATAATTATACTCAAAGATGTGAGGCCAAATTATAGACCTGCTATAAAATTTTATTTATATAAAAATTCTCTAAAATACAAACTAGTCTACATAGACAGAGAACATATCAATATTTACCTGGGAATTTAGAGGTGATCTGGAAAGAGAGGATTTATAAAATGCCATGAGGAGACTTTTGAAGGTGATAGATTTATGTACTATCTTACATTGATTGTGATGGTCTACTAATGTACATGCGGGTCAAAATTTTTCAATTGCACATTTAAAATCTCTTAGGTGTGGTTTATCACATGTCAATTCTACCTCAATATATATCTTTTTAAAATATGAGGATAAGGGGGCCAGCAGATGGCACAGTGGTTATATCACTGGATCCCGCATGGCCTACTGTGGTTCAAGTTCCAGAACTGATGATTTGAAAATCATGCCAGATATGTATGCATGTGTGGTCAAGATTCTAGGAGGAGAATGGAGGAGAAGGGCCCACATGGCCATCCCCCCCTGGGGGTGATTTTTTATTTTTCCTCTCACTGTCTCTGTTTCACTCTCCAGCAAGTTCATGCATCCTAAGACAAAATCCTCAAATAAATAAATGTAAGGATAAGAAACAGAGGTAATAGACTGGTATATTAGCTTACTAGGGCTATTTAAACAGAGTACTGCAGAGTAGGTAACTTACACAACAGAAATTAAT